TCCCCCCCCCCCCCCCCAAACCCCCAAAGTATAAAAGTTTTTAAAAGCCCTATTCTAGGATCCAGGAAACAGACCAGGGAGAGAACCTTGACAGAAATCCCAGCAACCCCCTCATTTTCAGCAGCCTGCCTTTGACACAATATTCTTCTTATGAACATAGCACATAAATGGCAGTGTCCTCCTGGCTGTCATATCCGTCTCTAACTGCTATATGCAATATAAAATTTTATGAGTCCCCATCTAACATGGCTATATTTATAGATATTGCATCTTTATATGCCTCAAGATTTTATTTTGCTATTTTTGTATGATGGGAAACTGCAGTCTCTAAGACAATGTTATTACAGATGTGTGCAATTAGCCTTGTTATTTCCACTCAATATGCACAGTGCAAGGAGGTTTGAATTTTCTCAAGAGAGACAGGTAATTGGGCAAGTGAGGGCTTTTCTTCTGCTCCCACATAAAAACCATTTCACTCACCGTCTACAGCAAAATCTATAAGGGCTTGAAAGTTTCATCTGCTTAATAAAAGAGCCACAGAATTTTTCCCTAATCAGAATTTCCCTAAACAACACCCATGCTAGGGAAACAGCATTTCTCTACCAGTCCTTGTAGAAATGATCCAGGAGCCAAGTGCTCCACTCTGACAGTAACAAACTCTGAGACACTGGGAAAATCATTTAACCACTTAGCCCATTTCTTCATCTACAGAATCAAGATAATGACTCTTATTCCTTTTTTGTAAATCATTTTGGGAGCTTTAAATGAGACCATCACTTGAGGACAACAAGTGTTACCATCCTTCATAAGTTATGACTAACCTCCAGAGGTTACCTGTAGACACTGATCAGAAAAACCAGGGAGCTAGCTTCAGCTTCACTAATCCAATCATTCAGACCAATGCTGCCAAATACGTGGCCTACAGGCCTGATCAGGCCCACAGAGCTGTATGATGCACCCCACAGGTTGCTGGATCAACCCCATGTACTGGTCTGAGCCCTGAGCACTGCACACAGTGCATGGCCTGGACCCAGCACTGCATGGCCATCATAGCACAGCAGTTTGGTTGGGGACATGTGCTGCATGTGGTGCCCCATGGCACTGGACCCGTGTACTGGCTCCGAGACCAGTGTGTATTAAGCCATGCTGGAAGCCACACAGCACACTCCCTGTGCTGCACGCCACACAAGTTGCCAGTCTAGCCCAGCATGCAACACATGCCAGCCCTGAGACTCACTGTGCACATGGTATGCAGGGCTGGCACAGGGCAAGCGCTGCCTGTGGAGCATGGGCTAGAACCAGCATTGCAAGCAGCACAGGAAGTCCCAGGCTGCATGCACCTCCCTGAACTGATGCCCTGTACTGCCTACAGTGTTGGATCCAGCCCATGTGTGATTGCACATGCCACCAGCCCCAGGGCTGCCCTGTGCTGTATGTGGCATGCCGGCTGAACTCAGCACCATGGGGAGCTGTCCCAGTCCACCGCATGGCCCAGCCCTGCAACACCGGACAAGTTTGACACTCCTGATTTAGACTGAACACAGATGGCCAGTTTACACCTGGGCCTGACTGCCTTGGGTTTTTAGGTGCTTTGGAACAGGCCGAGACAACGGTTTCTGTGGGCAGCTGGAACCAAAGACTCCTAGAGGAGTCGGGCTGGAAGGGAGCCCCAAGAGTCACCGAGTCCAAGCCCTGCCTGAGGCAAGACCATCCTCGTCCAAATCCAAACTCACATTCGTTTCCGCTGCCCGGGGGGCAAAGCGTCCATTTGTCCTGCTCAAAAGGGGGACAAGGTGCCCGTACGACCCCAGCAAAAATCCTCAGCCCTGGTGCAAACCAGCCACCTGCTTTCAGTCTCAGCAGACTGGCACCCGCGGCCACCAGCCGAGGTCCCAAATGCCAGCAGAGCTCGAGTGCCCTGAGGCTCCGGGACACCTGCGAGCGGCGAGAGCAGCTGCAGGCAGGATCCGGCACAGCATAGACCCGCCCCCCGGCACTGACTGAGCCCCGAGCACTGCCGGGACGGGACGGGACGGGGCGGAGCAGTGACGCCCCCTCCCCTTCCCTCCCTGCGGGGCAGCCGGCACTCGCTCACCTGACACTCACGGCTTCAGCCCAGCCCGTCGCGCCGGCGCCTCCTCATGACGTCACCACCCCCCCGCGTGAAGGTTTCCCGACAGCCCCGCCCATGAGATTGGCCACACCCCTTCCCTCGAGCCCCACCCCCGGCGGCCTAGGGCACGACCCTGGGTGGGCGGGGCTAAGGCCAGAAGACGTGGGAGGAGTCGGGGTCTGAGGAGGGAGGGTCATACCTGACTCCCCAGGCCCTGGTGACTTCCGCATCTTCTGGCCTGGTCCAGGTCCTGCGGATCTCTGTAGGTGGCAGACAGGTTCTGCTGCCTCTAGTAACCCAAGGCCCTCTTGCCTGGCGCCCTCCTAGCTCAGATCTTCTGCATAGCTCCTGCTCCTGCCCCCTCCAGTGCCTAAAGGGAGAAAAAGCGGATGTGTTGGAGGGAGCCTGCCAAAAAACGTTCAGGGCAAAATATGATACCCCCACCCCCCTTGGATAGTGTTGAATCCAGCCAAGCAGAGGTGCCCCTCGCACCCTGCATTGCCTAGGTACAGCACAAGTGAAACCGCTCCCTTTCCAGTCGCAGTGACATCTGGGTCCCACTTCACGTTGGCTCAGCAGCTCCAAAACACTCCAGCTACTTCTGGGGTTTGTCCCAATCGCCCCTCAGCTTCCACTGATGTTAACAGAGGAACAGTTTCAGTTTCTGTGCCTTCATTTTGGGCCAAATGCCTCCCAGCGTAACTCTGCTCCTAATTTAGATATACCATCTGGTGTGTGTGATCCTACCAAAGTTTGGCTATGAATCCAGTAATGGAACCATTAAAATAGAGAACAAGTGGGCTTCTGCTATTCCACCAGAATAACCTGGGCCCACAACATATTTTTATATATAAAAAAAAGCTGCAGGAAACCTCATTTGGCACCTGTCTGTACCTGGATTGGTTGCATTCCAGCCAAGAACAACCCAAGGTGATATACATTAATGATGTACCAAGAATAAAACTGCGCAGTGCTTTGTCTTCAAAACAGGCTTTGTTCTCCACTTTCTATGCATCATTTGTAGTCGGTTTACATACAGTACCGACAAGAGGCCCATCAAAATCAGGTCTCCAATGTTTGAATGTTCTAGCAATACAGAATAACTCACACTCCAGGTAGTTTTTCCATTTCCTTCAAAAGTAAGTAATGTTCTTTGTAGCCAGAACTATCCCTAGTAACGATTTCTATTAAAACACCTTACAAGTTAGAAGATCATTTTATTAACATGAATATTAATATGGTATGTGTGATTCAACAGCAGTTAACACATTAGTATCTTGAAGAAAAAGGTCACATCGTAGTTTTTCCCCACTGAGAATGATCACCTTGTACAAAGAGAGAGACTATGTGAGGAAAGGAGTCAGAATACAGTCATGTTAACAGGTAAATAAATGGTTTTTTTATTTAGGTTTTTAGTAGCCACATTAGTAGGGAGGGGAGTGGTTTAACACAAGGGTGCTCAACCTGTGGCCCATGGAGCCATGGTATGCAGTCCACAGGTCTCCCCACAGGTTGGGAAATTTGGCAACAGTGGAGTGGTAGCAGTTAATACTGCCACCCTCCCCCACTGCCAAATTCTCAAACCCTCGATCCCAAGCAGTAGGTTGGGGCTAAGCCACACCCTCTTCCCTCCCACAGCTGGATTGGGGCCAGGCCATGCTCCCTTCCTGCTGCGGAGTCAGGTTGTCTGCCCCCCTCGCCCCAATCCCCAGTACAACCGTCCCAGGCATCAGATCGGGATCACCAGCCAAAGCTGGCCTGCAGACTGTCCAGATACTGGCTCACCAGCCAAAAAGGTTGAGCTGGCAAGGGGGTGTTGGTTGTAGCCATGTTGGAACAACTTTCCCAGCCACAGAACAACCATCAGAGAACCACCACCAATACCTTACAACATTCCAACCTCATACTTGGTGAAACTGTAAGAACCAGTTAACCCTCAAATATTATCAGCCTCTCCATACACACACCAAAGCTGAAAAATCTGTCCTCTCTAAAGTTCTTTAAAAAAGGTTCAGAAAAATACCCAACTAATACCGTAATAATATACCACAATGTGGAGAACTAGAAGAATTTTCCTGATGCCTCCGTCTCAAGAAATATTTCCACAACCCAAATGAATCCACTTCCAACAATATTTCATCCTTTGATAACATTGAGGAAAAGATTAACACCCAAAACACAAAAAATCATGTTGGATACCTTACGGTGGACAAATTATACCATTATAATTGGCTGCTTCAGGGAAAGAATGAACAATGAAATAATCAACAACAAACACCACCATAATAACCTCTGCCTCTCAGATAGAAGGGCCATAGAATCTCTAATATCCAACTACCAAATGTTAATAAAACCAGCAGATAAAGGAGGAGCTATAGTTATCCTTAACCATGAAAACTACATAAAAGAAGCCAACAGACAACTCTCTAACACCACCTACTATGAAAAACTAGAGGAAGATCCAACTCCCTTTTCACCTTGAAACTCAAAACCACTAACAAAATCATTTCCATATGAACTACAAGAAAAACTATAGAACTTGATCCCCTGACTACCCAACCCAGGGATTTTTTATATGCTCCCTAAAATCCACAAACAAGGCAACCCTGGCAGACCTATAATATCCAACCATGGAACCCTAACTGAGGAAATATCAGGTTTCACGAAAACCTCTTGTCACTTAAAGAACGAGTTTTGTCCAAGACACAACAGACTTTCTACAAAAACTAGACCACCTTCCCAGCAATACCTCCCAGCCATCATGGATGTTACCAGCTTATAGACCAACATCCCACACCAGGATGGCATCCAAGTCTGCTTTACATATCTTCAAGAGCAAGATTACAACTCAAAGTACAGAAATAAAGATATTACTGAACTTATACACTTCATCCTCACATAAAATAACTTCACTTTCAATAACCAACACTTCTGCAAGATCATGGGCACAGCTATGGGCACCAAAATGGCCCCACAATATGCCAACCTTTTTATAGGCCACCTGGAAGAAGAATTCTTCAAGAACTGCACCATACCCATGCTATACCTAAGATATATAGATGACATCTCCACTGAAAACCTGCAATCTCTGATTGATTTAAAAGGAGGCTAGATGTACACCTTGCTGGGGTCATTTGACCCCAGTACTCTTTCCTGCCATGGCAGGGGGTTGGACTAGATGATCTACTCAGGTCCCTTCCGACCCTAGAAACTATGAATCTATGATTTCCATCACAAATTCAGTAATCATCACCCCTCCATCAGACGGTCTCTTGAATATTCCAGCACCAACATTTCATTTTTAGACACTATGATCAATATCCAGAATGGTAAAATACAAACCAAAGAAGTTGTAATATACAGCCAAGTCCTCCAATACCATCAAATTGCACTGAGGAGAACACCCGCAATCATCACCTCACAAATCTCAAAAAGGCTTTCACTCAACAAGGACACTCCTCCAGAGAGATAGATTGCACTTGTGAGAAAGCCACCTGGATACCACATGAAGAATTGCTGCAGTACAAAAAGAACAACCCCATGAATCACACACCATTAGTTATGACTTACCATCCTTCCCTGGAACCTATATGGGAAATCCTCAGACAATTAGAGCCCATCCAAAACCACCCATCCTACCCTTTAAACAAGCACCAAATCTCACCAACCGTATCACCAGAAGCAAATGTCCTATGGCCCAAAGTACACAGAATGGATCCAGACCATGCTGGGACAAGAAATATAAAACCTGCCAACATATCTCCACCACATCACCACCCCCACAATAACTACACCCCACTACAGAACCATCACCATTTCTGGATTGTACACCTGCACTTCCAGAAATGTAACATCTCATCCAATGCACTAAATGCCCTGATGGAAAACATGTAGGAGAAACCAAACAACAGCTGTTTACCAAAATAAATGCACACCAAAAAATCTATCAAAGAAAAAAATACCCAATTACCTGTGGGTGCACACTTCTTACAGGACAACCACTCTCTCTCCAACCATTCAGTTCTAATCCTCAAAGGGAATTTACAAAACACCTTTTGTAGATGAGCATACAAGCTTCACTTCATAAGTCTACTGGATACAAAAAATCATGGACTAAATATGGACATTGGACATATGGACATTGCCTGCCATCCGATAACCCCAGATAACCTCTCCACTTTTTACCAGCTACAATAGAAATGCATTTTGCATATTGGCTTCTATTCCACCCAGGAGAACACAAAACACCAGCAGACTCTCCCTATACCTGAAAAAGGGCGTTTGTGCCCAAAAACTTGCAAAGAACATTTTTGCCAACTATTTAGTTGGTCTAATAAAAGATATCACATTTACCCAAAGAACCTTGTCTGAGCTGGTTTACCACATTTTTTTCCATTTTACTTTTCTTCTTAAAGTCTGTAATTATTTCTAAGCAGTGAGAATGAGAACTGGAAACAGTACAAATTATAAAGCATAAAGGAACATTGAGACATAATTTTGCAGAGTTAAGAATGCACAAACAAAGACTATGACTAAATCTATTATTGATGCTGCCATCAATAAAAGTAGGGCCGGAATGGAAGTGGTAGGAACTAGTTCAGCTGCAAAAAGCAGGGTAAGATAAGAAATATAAAGGATCAGGAGCCATAGCCAGTTTCCTCAGTCATTAGAGGACGTGCAAATAACAAAAATTAACCACCTGACTGAGCCTTTCAGTATCACTAGCATCACAATTGTGCCAGGTCTAAATCTGACTTCTTTCCTCTCTGCTAATGAACTCATACACCTCATCTTGCCCCTTGCACTTTCTGGCTCATCTACAAATGTTTTAATTAATCTACCCTCAGGACTTACCTCATAGGATTTTTGTGTTACCATCATCTTACATATACAGCCACTAATATAAAGAAAGATATAGTGACTTCTCAAAGGTCCTCCAGGAGCTAACATTAGAACCTGAATTCCACTGGAGAACTCTTAAATCTAAGTTGTCTATTCTAATCCCATAGAGCAG